GGACATCATTTCACTCACAGCCTCGTCATAAGCTTCATACAATGTTTTATGAGTTGCTTCTAGCTGTTATCCCAGATTGACACAAAATTTGACACAAGTTCTTTGGCTCTTTGTGGATGCCATATCACAACATGACAAAACAAAAACCACGCAACCATACAAACAGTTATAACACTATGAAATGGCACCCGAGGTGTTCAGAATGAATGCCTGTATGTAGGTTGTAATCAGCCATCAGCCATTCCATATGCATGACTCGTGGTGCTCCACACAGCCATTGTGGGAATTTTGAACCAAACTCATAAATTACATTTTATTTTGATTTATAAATTATATTACCTAATTATATCATGTACCCAAAATTGCATTACTTGAAATATAAAATTTATATTCTTATAGTTCCGTGTTTTCTCCTTGTCTATGAACATGTGTTTAATGCTTTCAGAACTGTAGGAATATTTTCATATTTTTTTTTTTTTTATAATGTGACAGTGGTTATGTAGCTGGGTAACGCACGATTCTTTTTGTAGTTTTAAGTGGAATTTTGAATGACCTAATGAGAAATATTTTGTTTTATGTAATTTTATATAGAATGCAGATGGCAAGGCAGTTGAAGGTGCAGATCTGTATGACCACCAATCGCTTGTAAGTTCTATTCATACTTTTACTTGCTCTTGACTAATGATGATGAATGAATTTAGTCTGTGAAGTGGAACTGAAATATAAGACAGGGACATTTACTCCATATGTCCTAATATTGAACCTGAATTACTGGCCTGTACCAGGCATTGTTAATTCAGCTGCTGTGTAAATGTTGTTACTTATGTCATTTGAATAAGATACAAGAAGTCTGCCAATTCTCCAGTTGTTTCGTGCGGAATAGTGTTACACTGTGCATTGCTGTGGAACTCACATTTAGTGTTCCTCGAATTAAAGTGTTCCCTCATTTAACGTTCAGCTCTGATGATCCTTAGTCAATGAAGTTAGTGTTAAATTACCTCCATTTAAGATTTTCCTCAGTTCAGTCTTCAAATTCAGTGGTCCCCAAAGAAACCTTAACTGGGGCCTAGAACTACTGTGTCTTCAGACTTTGTCCATTGTTTGGTATTCTAATAACTAGAAAAAACAGCGTTTTGGAAACTGGATCTGTTTCCATTCTCAGGTGATGGCAGAGACACCTGCTTTGTTGTGTCCGTTAGAAAGAACTAACCTCAATCAGTGATTAACCCATGTCAGTATAACTACAGCTACATAAATGCATCTGAGATCAGGCTTTGTCAGAGGGAGATGAGAGGAAACTATGCAATAAAAATCGTGATAAAGCATGCACATTCGTGTAACTAGGCTAGATCTTCATTGAGGTTAGTCCTTTCTAAGGGATCAAAACAGAGCAGGTGTCGCCTGCTCACCTGGGGACAGAAATAGATCCAGTTTCCGAAATGTGTTCCCTAGCTATTAGAATACCGGACGATGATCAGAGTCCAAAAACCCAGCAGTCCTAAGTGTTATACGCCATTGTGAGAACCCTTTAGAATCTATTTAAATGGAGGTTTTGCTGTATTCAGACTGACATTGTTGGATGTATTCCAGTCTATTAGACGACGAGTGAGTGGCCTCACAGATGAGGACAGCTACAAAGATGATGAAGATTCATACGTCCGGACAACAGATGATGATGACGGAGGTGGCACAGATTGGGAGGAGGCCATGAAGAGATGGGTAAACCGATAGAATGCAGTGGGCAGCTGGGGGGGGGGCACAGTACAGAGAGCAAGGAGACAGCAGGCGCTATACCACCACTTTATATTGCTTCATGCATTGCAACAGATACAGAATGTTAACAAGAAAACTGAGACTTGCAGTGTGAAGTGCTTCTGTTTCATATTCAGCAGCTTCCTGGTTCAAAATGTAGCTACAAGGCTATTTTCATAGCGCCAAAAATTTATATCGGATCTTCTGGGTTATGACACCATGTGGTCTTGTACCTATGAGGCTGCACTGTTTTGTCACCTGGAAGACAACAGTCCAGAGACATTTTAATCAATTTCTCCTTTAGAAAACATTCCTTAAATATGCTGTGGCCATGTCTTGAGACTTCCTTTGTAGTTCATTATTAGTGGACTGCAATGTAACCTCTGCAGTTGATAGAGCAGCATTAAGTAAATGTATTGTATATTGTAGATACTTAGTTCATAGCTAATCATTCTCACTGACGGTTTACATAGGTTTTATCATTTATGCCAAGTAGAAACAATACTACATTATGAATCAAGCAGTCAAGGTAAGTATTTAATCTGAGAAATTCGCTTTCGTTTTCACATGGTCACAATAACATTAGTCTAGAAGTCACATTCAGCACTTCTATTATCTTACTTTGTCTGGTTGGCACTTCTGGGCTCGTATCTGTAATGCAGAACTTAAATAATCACATGTTTCCTTCATTTCATTGTAGGGTAAGAGCACCTCCATTTGGCCTCTTAAGTTTAAACAGTTGCACCAAGAGTAAAATGTGTTCAGTATGTACAGGACTAGAGTTTTCTTATGCCAGTATGCAAACCAGCAGAAAGTTGAAGAAAGCAGTCTTCTGGGATTTGGCACCGTGTATATGTGGTGTTAACCGACGTTTCAGAGGAACGTATCGCCCCCATCTTCAGGGTAGAAGAAAAAGTATAAGAATTCTGCAAGCGACAACACCATGAGAAACGGTAAAGCAGNGCCTGAGTTTATGGATGTTAACATTTTCATTCCCAGTAACTTGCCTGCTGTTATATTCTGTTACTTCCCCTTGTAGCTGTCATGTGGTTATCACCTCCAGCGTGTGTGTTGAAACACTGGCTGGATGATTGGAAGAGAATATAAGGCCGTACACTGGAAGGGGAAGTGTAACAGCTTGAGGGAAGTTGGTCCATGAACTGCTTTCCACACCCTCAGTAGCTGTTTGCAGTGTTTCACGTAGTGCTATTTTCCTCCTTATCTAACATACATAAATTAAATTCTCAAGTTACCTCAGGCTATCACATGTTACTTTCTTGAGGGGAACATGACTGGAGATATCCCTGAGCTCATGCTTGCTCCTGAGGAATGCCTATTTCACACATTTCATCATTTTGTATTACAGTTCTTGACACCATGTGCATAAATGTGAGAATATCAATTTTGTTAGATAAAGAAGACACTGAACCAAGCATGGTTCTTTGCACTATATTCATTCATTCATCAGTAATCTGTCAAGACGACAGGTCCACAGTCTCTTCCAAAACAGTTCCTCAACTTAATGCGATCTAGAGCTTTCTCCTTCAAATAAGCATCTTCTTACGTCTTCTTCCTCGTCTTCTGGTTCGCATACATGGTGTCTCTGTTTTTGGAAAGAGACTATCCAGGAAAAGTGATAATGTGGTAGCTTTTCCATTTGCTTTCCACATCGCAGTACAACAGCCGTTCAAACCACTCTGGTCACGCCTCTTGCTATACGAACTTGAACCATTTTGAGCATCATTTGCTCTGTGCTTCAAGTCGCTGCTGATGACGCTGCTTCCGGCATCAGTTTTTGGTTTTTGCTGTCTCTCTTCATCTGATGCCTACCCTTTGACCCTATGAGAACAATTTATTTGGCCACTTGACAGTTTTGCTTGCAAAGGGATAGAGAGGGTCAGGCATATATGTTGTGCTGCACACTACAGTCAGATATGTGACTTCTCTTGCAGTTGCTTATTAGTGACTAGTACGAGCACCTACTCATTAAAATTTAATAATTCTGTAACACTGCAAATGTATTTTCATATATTCACCCCTAAACATATACACAGCTGTTAATGTGTGATGTTGAAAAATGGATCCTTTTTTATCATAATTTCAGCATTAACATATTATATTTTATTGTTTTATTCAAACACACCTGATGATGGTCAAAAAATAAGACCGAAACATGTAGTGTAATTAACATAATAAACTGATTGACTTGCTTGTATTGTTTTCACTTGAACTCAATCATTTTATTATAAAATAATCAAACGTTCTTGTGTGATGGTACAAAAAATTTCTTTTTGAAAGTGTGCATGGCTGTTAGGTTTATAGATATACTTACTTACTTACTTATGGAGCTGAGCCCTTCTTGAGAAGGCTGCCACTCAAGAATTTCCCAGCATTTTATGGAACCCGAAGGTTCATTACCGTTTTCACAAGAGCCCTCCACTGGTCCCTATCCGGAGCCAGATCAATCCAATCCATACCATCCCATCCTCTCTCTCT